TCAGTATTCTCTCTCCATCTTTCTTGTCAGCTCTTTCAGAAGCCAAGGCCACAGTCAGGGCTGGGTTCTGGTTGTGATCTCTGTGAAAACCCCTTTGCTTTCCTTCCCAAAGGGCTCTCCCTGCATCCTCTCCTGCAGGGACTCAGTGCTGGAAAAGTTTTCCTTTTAAAACAAGTTTTCTGTTGACTGAGATGGAATTGTCAGAGATCAAATCAGGATCTGTAAAGTACTTCTTGAGGTAAAACAAGGTTTGAAGACGAAATAAACTGATTTTCACCTCTAAACTCCCATGTCAGAGCTCTGCATTCTGCATGGACATTTTCTGGCTTGACCTAAAATCGGTTTTGCTGCTTAGGGAGGCTCTGAACTCCTTAAGTCACATCAGGTAAAGGAGGTTTCACATCTTTTCCAGGAGCTCTGGAAGCAAAATTTGTCACTGAAAATACCTTACTGCATCTTGATTGGCAAAAAGATGCTTCAAATGAATGTTTGTGGCAGCAGGAGACTGCCCAGATATTTATCACTGCCATTATTGCAGGTGTGAACTGCTGTTCCTGCAAGGAAAAAGGCTCACATGTTTTATTCTCTTGTTCAAGAGGCAGGGTTTGGCCTAAGGAAATGGAATACTCTGTGTATTCTGTAAAAAATGTGATAAATGGGAACGTTTTGCACTTGTTTTTATCCTGCTGCTGTAGCCACGAAATAATTTTGTCTCTGAGGGTGCTGCTGAATTTACTGTGGGATTTTCTATTACGAGAAAAGAAATGTTTATTTTGATACTGTGAGAAATACACGTATGAATTGTTGTACATAGAGAGAAATTTGTGTGCCTTAGGGGGGCATTCTGCTTTGTTTTGGGTCTTCCTCCTGCCCTTCCTGGTGTGATGCTCCTGGGAAAAGCTTCAGGAATGAAATTGCTATCAGGATGCCCTGGAAGCTGAAACTTCCATCCATATCTTTATCTACTTTATAATATAAAACATTCTTGAAGAGAACAGATGATGGAAGATCCTCTCCCTTATTCATGCTGGATTTTGTAATACCTTTATACTATAAATTACATAAAATAGTGTCATTAAAGTGAGCAAACTTGTCTGCAGACAAATTGGATTTTACATTTTCACATGGCAAAAAGATGAAATTTGGGACATTTTAAAGTTGGATTTTTATCTTATGAGTCTGTAAGCAGTGACAATTTAATGAGTGGCTTCTAGAATTGATAACAATTGATTTTTAGTTCTTTATTTGTTGCTAGTTTAGAGAGAATACAACTTGTAAGCAGAGAGAAGACTTCAATTTTTTATCCTTACAAACTCTGGGAATTGTGAGGGACTTAAATTCTTTCCAACAAAGTAAATTCTATGGAACTGTTCTGAAAGCCAAAATGTAATGAATTAGTTCAAGTGATTTTTTTTTATTATTATTATACATTAATCCATTTATTTATTTAGTTGTGTAGTCTTTTAAGGCAATGTAAGAAAAATTTAATGGAAAAAATAAATGAAACTTAGACTTTTGCATCTATTCCTGACCATGGTAACAGGGACATTTTCGTAAGACATCACTTAGCTGAGTGTAGGTTTGATTTCTCTAGATTTTCTCACTATACATAAAGAGCTTAATATTTCAATTTAAATATTTCACTGGGAGAAAATGGACAAGCCTATTTAAATCAGGATCTTTTATCCCTGAGGCAGACAAGTGTTGGCATGTGTGGTCTCTCCTGCAGGGAATTCTCATTCTGGAATTTCTAAGTGTTAATACTGCTTATGGGGATTATTTAAAACTAAAATTTCCCTTCTTGTTTCTGTTCAAGAGACATTTGAACATTGAGAGTTTTATTTTAAAGGCGATTTAGGAAAATAAGTAATTGTGGAGCATTCCTGTGCTTCTTCAAGCTTTCCCTCAGAACTGAATTTTACAGAAATCAGAAGTAATTTCACAGTTTGGAGTAGTATATTCATTTTTTAAAATATAAAAAGTGTTTCTAAATAATCAGGCATCCTTTCCATAAAAAAAAAAAAAAAGCTAAAACAAAGAGATGCCTTGGTTTTTGGCTTTAGATTTGTTTTCTTTTAATGGAGCAGAATAGAAGTTTCACTCATCTTGCTTGGGAGCTGGATGTGGCTTCCCTCTGGACAGATATCCTGGAGCCCGTGACTTTGCTTTGGGAATACTTCAAACATAGAAGAGAATCATGGAATCACCAAGGCTGGAAAACATCTCTGAGATCATCAAGTCCAACCTTGCACCTAACCCTAACCTAACCTAGCCCAGCACTGCCAAGGCCACCACTGCTCTGTGTCCCCAGGTGCCACATCCACATGGATTTTAAATCCCTCCAGGGACCCCCCAGCCCCTCAGTGTCCCTCTTGTCCTGCGGGATCCAAACTGTCCCCATGGTTTGAGGTCCCTCAGCAGTGCCAGCACAGGGGACAATTCCTGCTGCCTGTGGTGACACAATTCCTGCTCCAGTCCAGGTGCCAGTGGCCTCTGGCACATCTGGGCACACCTGGGTTCGTTTCACCCTCTCAGCATCCCCAGGACCTTTCCCACCAGGCACTTCCCAACCCTGCTGGCCCAGGGGGACCCTCAGTGTCCCTGGTTTGGGAAGAAACAATCCAGGAGAGGCAGGAATTGTAGTAAACTGCTGGCAAAATGCTTCTCTAGTGGATATTGTTTAATGATCTTCCTCTCCGTGTGACCAGCTCATTTCTGAGCTTTGCAATAGGGAAAGAGTTCCAGGGTAAAGCCTGCCACTATTTCAGTGAACAAATAGCAGAGAAATGCCCAGAACAATGGAAACCCCTTGCAGGACTGGCTGGGTAAACACAGCTTTGCAATTATTCCTATGGCTCAAATTGAAATTGATTTTTTAGAGAATTAGGTGCCTTTTTTCTATATATTGCTTCCAGTGCTGGTCTGTAGATGATGACAATGATCTCCAAATACAACTAAAGATTAAAAATCAACTTAAGATTAAAATCTAATCATGCTGTTAGCTACTGCTAACTAGTTAGAGCATATTAAAAACACCTAGAGTACAAATATTACCTCTAAATAATTACAAACCTTTATTAGCATTGTAATTAAGAGCGTGCTGGCTGCAAGTGATACCTCACAAAGAAAATGATGAGTGGTAGTTGTACTTTGCTCCTAATGTTAAATAGATTCTCCTTCCTAGCAGGTCCTTGAGCAGTGGTTTGCAGGAGGGGATCTGCAGATCAGTGTTGGAGCAGGGATGTGTTTGTGTGATGCAGTGTTGGCTCCAAGGAACAATTCTGTATCAAAGAAAAGGTTTTTATTACCATGATAAACACCAAGATGAGCACAAATCATTATTTTTATGCAGGGAAACAGGAAGAAGTGTTGATAACTGGTTAAAGACAATCACCAGGTCTGCTCAGCACTACTTTGGGGGCTCAGCCTGAGCTGAAAAGACAAAATTTAACAAGTTTCTATCATTCCAACTAAAACTTATAGCAGTACAGAATCCCCTCCTATTCGTGTTCCATTTCTATTTGCTTCTTGTATTTATTTTTAACTCCAGCAGCCATTCCAGGTTTTTAACCAGCTCTCCTATTGGCTCCTATCAAGCCCACTGTTTGCTGTGCCAGGAGCTCGTTAGGCACTGATTTGACAATTAAAGTTTGGATTTTTCGGATGGTCCTGTCTTATTTCCAATTCAGAGTAGGAAATGTTGTCTTTGTAGAGCCCCAGATTCTGTTCTTGTTAGAAAGTTCTTTTGATGTCCCAGAACAGCAGCTCAGGTGGACTTTCCTTCCATATTCATGGAGTTTGAAGTGCCACAGAGCTCCCATCAAGTACCTTGGCATCCTCTGGAAAATTCAATATTCCCACACAGACAAAATCCTGTAGGACTTTAGGACTTTAGATCTCAGCTTCATGCAGGAGAAAAGCAAATTCCAGGAGTGCTGATCAGGTGGAATTTAAGGTTAACCTGTAAATTCTGTAAATAAGAGGGCTCAGAGCACATGCAGGTGACCCGGTGTCGTTTCAGGTTTAATCTCAATTACTTGGATTGATGTGGAAATAAAGATTTTAAATTGAAATTAATGCTGAACTTAAAGGTAACAATAAAGGCTCTGTGCCTTTATGAAGAGAAAATTACTGAGTGTTCTCCTGGGCTGTGGCATGGAATAACCTGGAAAACAGCACAGAAAGGGGGACTTGCAATTCTATCAAACCACAGAAAGAGTCACTTCTTTTCTGAGTCATTCTTCTGAGGGTTTTATCAATTTTTAATGTTTTTCCTCCTGCATTAAGGACCAAAAGAGATGTGGACATCATCAATAGGCTTTTAGCATGTAGGCAGAGAGGGAGGATGGACAAGAAGCTCCCATTTATGGGATTTCACTGCATTTAGGAGCCTTGGGGATGGGTTGGGTTGTTCCTACAACCCTTTCACCCACCAGAAGGAAAAAGTAAAATTTCCTTTGGTCCCTTTTCACTCTTTCTGTGCTTTGAGAGAGATCTGGATGGTGCTGCTCTTCTGGTTTGATGGAATTCACTGGATTTTGGTGATGTTTTTTTAAGCTTCACTGTATCTGAAAATACCACACAGCGAAATGAAAACTTGGGGTTAGTTTAGCTCAATGCTCAATATGATAATTTTGAAAAGATTTCTTCCTTGAGCAGAATATTGACTTTCCAAATGCAAATGCTGATATTGTGTGATATTTTTAGGAGTGCTGTTTATTACCTTGCAGACATTTTAATGTCTGAGCAATTTTTAGATGAAGAATATGTCGCAAAAGCTTCGGTGATAAACCCATGAAATTGGAAACTGGAAACTTTCTGAGATGAGGTTGTTTTTTTTTTGTTTCCTTGACAGAATTTTGCATATCCATTAATGAATTTTAATGATGGAATTATGTCCACTGCATTCTGTGGTTCTCTCTAGCAATATTATGTTTTGATCGCCAGTATTATGTTGCATTATCCTAAATAATGGATTCCTTTCCTTTGCTTTTTGCCAGGGGAGTTTTGTGGCCTGCATGACAGCCATCCTGAGGCAAATGGAGGATTACCACTATGCCCATTTAATCAAGACTTTTGGCAAGATGAGGTCGGATGTTGTGGTGAGTTTCATTTGTTTTATCTCTTCATAAGATGGCTCAGCTTGGTTTTGGGTTATTTTCCTGTTACTGGTCATTAAATGCACTTGTGAGATGTGAACAAAATGTGTTTGGCATTACAGATTTAATATAAAATAATTTTTTAGGCACTGTGACACGCACAGGAGTACAGCTGGAACTGTTCAGTATTTTAAAACATGAGACAGTGGATTGAAGGCAATTAAAACAAAGCAGTAAAAATAGTAGTGATGAGACATTACTAAAATCTGGTAACGAAAGAAGAAAAAGAATATTAAAAAGGCTTTTTTTAGGAAAGGGACTTTCAGTGTTAAATTTTCCAGATGTCTTGATTTTGTTTCTTGAAGTAGCTTTTGCTTAGAGTTCTGCTCACTTTCCCTTTTCCCTTTTATGCAAAACACTTTAACCTTAAAGATGCCCTTAGTTGTTAAATAAGCAATAATAATTGAAATTTGTCTTCTCAGAGTCATTGGGTAGCCTGGCTAAGGCAACAACCCAAGTTAATTAAAGCATAATAGAGGGGAGTTTATAGCTGAGGAGATAACTCTGTAATAACCTGAAAGTGCCACTGCCATATGGCCAGGCAGGGCTGGGAGGGGACACCCAGCTCCCTGGCTGAGCTCCAGCAGGCAGTGATCACCCACCCCACTGCCACCCTGGGGTGCTCCCACCTGGGCTTGGATCCTTCTTCAGCTCCTCTTCTTCCTCCAGCCCCTCCAGAACAATGCCACAACCTTTGCTTTGTGTAATTTTCATGTTTGGACTTCCCAGTTTGTCTTGAATTTGTGTTATTCTCCTTTCTGTCTCTGCTGGGCAAGGTTTGAGCTCTTTGCCCTGTTCCAGTTTGCAGCCTCCTCTTGCACCTGCTCTGGCATCTCTAAAGCTCAGAGCTGAATTTAAATAATATTCATTAAGGCAGAGCATTATTTATTGGCAGACCATTAATCCTGTGAGTAAAGGAAACTACAGGCAGTAAACTAAATTTTCTTTCTTTTTGTTTTTCTGTGATTTTTCCACTTCTTTAACCCAGCAATTTTTTGTGCCACTCTCATTTGACTCAGTAGAACTGAAATCCAGGAGTCTTTGCTTTTAAACCCAAAGCTGGAGGTGAAAACTGCACCTCCTATTATAGAGGATTCAGTTTAATCACAAAGCAGTGATTTAGAACTGAGACTAAATTCAACCATTGGAGGTGAAAACTGCACCTCCTCTTGCAGAGGATTCAGTTTAATCACAAAGCAGTGATTTAGAACTGAGACTAAATTCAACCAGGCAGAAATGAAAAGCTTTTTCTTAAAAAAAAGGCAAGAAAAGGGGAAAACTTAAGCTGTGGTTTCTTTTTCACCACTGGAGACCCTTAAATCTTCCTTGAGCCTCTGCTCTTGCTCAAGCAGGAGTTGGAAGCTCAGGGCTGGAAGTGCTGGAGGAAACTTTATGGTCTGTGTTATGTAGGTGGCAGGTTTAGATTATTATAATGGTCATATTTGGCCTCAAAAGTCTTCAAAAAGATGAGGTGGAGTGCAATAAAACCAGTCTTTTACCTCTCTGCAGAATAGAGAGTTTAGATTTATTAAGGAATGTCTGTCCAAAGAGGAATTTCTGGCTGTAAGATCCCTTCAGCCCAAACTCTGCTGTGATTCTGTAAAATCAAAATCTGTGATTCTGCTGTCATCCTGAGATGAAATATTATCTGAGATCAGGGAGGTTATTTCTGGGATTGGCTGACTTTTTTTCCTCTTTTTGCTTGGTAAAAAATATTTTTATTTGAGACACATGTGGTTTAGTTGACAAAAAATGGCTGTTAATGTTCTGCCATGTGGAGAATCTCAGGCTGAGCTCAGGCTGTTTCCTTTCCATCAGTGGAAAAAAAAATTCATGGGAATTTTTTAGGGGTCTTACCTGCTGTGAATTCTATTTCCTATTAAATAGGATTTGTATTTGTAGTTGGAGAGAGAGCAGGAGTTGTAACCCTTCCTCCTTTAGTACAGGTTTTTATGTTCAGAAATATTTGTCCTGCTTCCTGTTATTCTGAAAATAAGCAGCTTTTTCTTGTCCTGAGGGGCTTCCCTCTTTTCCCAGCCCCTCAAAAACCCTGAGATTTCCTCATAAAATGAGGTTAATTCATCCAAACCATTTGCTTTTCTATGAGAACCATAAAATGGAAAAAAAAGCAATATTATAAATACATAAACCCCAGGTGAGCATCAAAAAGCCTTTTATTTGATCAATAATTAGCTCAGTTGTTACAGAGCATTATTTAAAGTACCTGTGTGAGCGTGGGGTTATTAAAATGTAAATATTGGGATGGAAATGCAGAGCTGAATCAGCAAAGTAGGTCAGAACCCCCAGGCTCAGGAAGGAACCAAATCATCATCAATGGAATTCTGTCACCAAAACACAGAAAAAACGAGCAGGGAAATCTGCAGATTGAGCTCTTAAATGAAGGCAGATTTTCCTGAGCTGGAGGAGAGGTTCTGGGATGGGTGGTGGCAGTGGTGACATCTGAACCAGGAGCAGCTCCAGGCTTGTGTCCATCCATGCCAAAGCCTCAGGATCTGTTTGCTGGGCACAGGATCTGTTTGTGGTGTTTGTGAGGGTCCCAGGACGAGGGAAGAGATCAATCTCACCCCATGCTCTCAGAAGGCTGATGTTTTATCTCATGATACCACATTATATTAAAAGAATGCTATACTAAAACTACACTAAACTATACTACAAGAACAGAGAATGGATACATCAGAAGGCTTAACAAGAATGAAGAATAAAAACCGGTGACTGACTCCTCAGAGTCTGACAGAGCTGGCTGTGATTGGTCATTAAGAAAACACAATTCACATGGAACCAATCAAACGTACACCTGTTGGTAAACAATGTCCAGACACATTCCGAAGCAGCAAAATGGGGAGAAGCAAATCAGATAATTTCTGTTTACATTTCTCTCTGAGGCCTCTCAGCTTCCCAGGAGAAGAAATCCCAGCAAAGGGATTTTTCAGAAAATATCACAGTGACAGTGCTTGGCCACAGGTTGGATTTGGTGGTCCTGGGGCTCTTTTCCCACTTTAGAATTCTGGGATTCTGTGATCCTTGCTGATGCTGTGTGCTAAAATGACAGAGGAGCTCTTTCACCTGGAGTGTTGTGCACATGGTGGAGCCCAGTACCCTGGAAGTTCCCAGAACAGCTGAGGTTGGAAGGGACCTCTGGGAATCACCCAGTCCAAATCCTGCCAGGGCAGGGTCCAGGCGGGTCTGGGATGGCTCCAGAGAGGGGAAACTTCACCTTGCTTTGTGAAATAAGAATTATTTACCAGGGCCTGGAGGGACCGGACACAGGGAATGGCCCCTGGATCCCTGGCAGTGCCCAAGGCCAGGTTGGACACTGGGGCTTGGAACAGCCTGGGATAGTGGAAGATGTGCAACAAGGGCTTTAAGGTCCTTCCCACCCAAACCAGGAATTCTGGGGTTCTTGATCTCCAAGCCGTGTCCTCAGGAATTCTGCAGTTCCCTGCAAGCACTGATGGGGAATTTCTGAGCCAGGAAAACATGTGAACAGAGCAGTGGATTAAAAGATAAATCTGCTGAAGATCCTGGCTCTCACAGCTGAAGAAAGAATGATGAGAGCAAGGACTTCAGATTGGTTTCTCACTGAAAAGGTTACACAGAAACCAGTCTTAGCTAAAAGTCCAGTTGATGGAACGTATTGGGGATTTTTTTTGTAGTCATTTGACATTTTAAAGATAGACCAGATAAATACCATTGCTGAGAAACTGTATCAAACGGAAGATATTCTAACCTTGGAATAAAAGTTCATTTTTATCTCTGTGTGAAGTGGATCAAGGACTTTCTGCATGCAGTTCTCTTTTCCCCTTTATCTTTCTCGCAGCATTTGATATTACTGAAATTGTTAGATAGCAATTACAGATTCCCAAATTGTAGGAGATGATTTACATTGTAAAGTACACAAAGTTTCTGGTCCAAAGAACTGTGTGTTTATAGCTGTGTGGAAATAAATTGGTTTATGCTGTTAAATTAACTTGTTCTTGGGCAGCCTTTCATTTGCAGAAGCAATTCCTGCTGCTCCCTTTAGGGAGAGTCCCTCCCAATTTTGGGATGTCCAAACCATTTTTGTCCTCTACCCCAGATGGAGGTCATGATTTGAGCTGGAAGATGTTTTTATTTTAATACATAAATAATCTCAGTTTCTGGAGAATATCCATGAATGGAGGGATTATTCATTACCTGACTCCAGAGAGTATTTTTTGTGCAATCCTAAGAGTTAAATAAATATTTAGCTTTATTTTTTTCCTCTTTCCATGAACCAGTGTGCTTTTGTCAGCTTCCCAAGGGTGTGTCACGACAGGTGTGTCACAATACATGAAGGAACTGGGAGGTTTTCTCCATAGTATGGAAAAAAAAAGATGTTTTTTCTAGTGAAAACTCTTTTTGGATAACTGGTGAACCAGTGCTTGGCCTTGATGAATCCCATGTGTTGTTTAAGTGTGAGATTACTGCTTTTATAATTTCTGAAATGGAATTACTGTAGGATTTGTGTGCATCATGTATAAATGTGCTTGAGTAGGATTTAGGTGTGTTTTTTTTGAAAAACAGCTTTTTGAGGAACACAAAGACCCTTTTGGAGCACAGTCATCAATAACCGCCACCACCCCCTGGAGCCTCTTGGTCTGATTGCCTCCAAATATTATCTCTTCTTTTAGGATTTCCTGATGGAGACATTCATCATGTTCAAGAACCTCATTGGGAAGAACGTCTATCCCTTCGACTGGGTGATCATGAACATGATGCAGAACAAGTGAGTACAGAGGGAGAAGCTCCAGAGCTCCGGGGTTGCCTGGAAACAGCAGCTGCAGCCAGCCTGCCCTGCCTCCTCCTCCTCCTCTGATGCAAAGAATTATTGAAAAATTGGCTCTGGAGGAGCGCTGTAGTGGCCTGCTTTAGGGCTCTTGGAGTCCACCTAAAATTTAGGGTGGCGTCAGTTTGAGAACCTGGATTTTGGAGCCAACTGCAGGTGCAGTAAAATTCCATCCATATCTTAAAGTAACTCAGTTTATTATTTGGAGGGTGAATTGCATGTTTTGCATATGACCTCACATTAGGTGTTGTTGTATGGAGTTCTATGTCCAGGAATGTTTTCATTGGTGTTACAAGAAGAATTAAGGAAGCTTTTAAATCCAAATTCCATCACACCAGTAATGTGGAGAGAGGCTGAAAATGTTCCTGATGCTCATTTTTTTCCCCAATAATTGCAGTTCTGTCATTATTTAGCATTCCTTTGTGCAGTGTTTTATGCTGGTGACATTTTATTAAGTGTGTCAAATGCTTTTATGTGTACTGAGATGAAAGTATAAGGGAAAAACATTATATTTACCAGTTGCCTGGAGAAATCTCCTCAGCATTTACTGGAAGCTACCATGGCTGTAAAGTTGTCAGCGTTTCCTTATATAAAATCCTGAACCACAGCTCCTGCTCTCCTTATAAAAATGCACCATAAGTTTAATCTTGGCTTCTGAAGTCTCCTTAACTCCCTAATAAAATCTGTTCTGAATAAATAGGAGTCAGGAGATTGAGCCATCGTTGGGTTCTTCCTGCTGGTTTGGAATGCTTGGGAAGCACCTGGTGTTTGAAATCAGGAGCACATTGAGAGCTGATGAGGAACATCTGAACCCCTTTGGATTTATTTCTTTTTTTATTAATCTTGGAAGTGGTTTTGCTTCAGCAACTCCAAGTGCATTGGGAGCTGTGTTGGAGGTGTTGGGAAACTCTCCCAGCGTGTGTTACCTGTGAACAGGAGAACTCTGGGGTTCCTGAAGTTTGGGAGAGATTGAAACAGGAGTGGGAAGGTTTGTGTTTGGACATTCTTAACACCTTAACTGGCCTTGCTGAGTGGAGACAGGGCAATTACAGTGTGGTCAGTACTGCAGGGAGTGTTCCTTGTGTCAGCCCAGCACAGGAGGGACAATGAATTCATGGACAGGATCCAGAGGGGGCCACAGAGCTGCTCCAGGGCTGGAGCCCCTCTGGAGCCAGGCTGGGACACCTGGGGGGCTCACCTGGAGAGGAGCAGCTCCAGGGAGAGCTCAGAGCCCTGCCAGGGCCTGAAGGGGCTCCAGGAGAGCTGGAGAGGGACTGGGGACAAGGATGGAGGGACAGGACACAGGGAATGGCTCCCAGTGCCAGAGGGCAGGGCTGGATGGGAGATTGGGAATTGGGAATTGTTCCCTGGCAGGGTGGGCAGCCCTGGCACAGCTGGGGCTGCCCTGGATCCCTGGCAGTGCCCAAGGCCAGGTTGACATTAGGGCTGGGAGTGCCTGGGACAGTGGAAGGTGTCCCTGCCATGGCAGGGGTGGCACTGGCTGGGATTTGGGATCCCTTCCAACCCAAACCAGTCTGGAATTGTGTTCTCTTCAGATTATTGCCAGGTGATCTCTCAGTGTTCACTCAGGTAGGGATTTCACCTTGGGTTTTATTTGGCACTGGGAAGTTCTAGCCAAACAAGTGAAAGAGCAAAGGTACAAAAAGATCCTTTCCCTGCCAGTGTTTTTTTCCTTAAAGCACAAAGGGATCCTTCCTTCCTCCAGGCAGTTTCTCATGGAAAATTTGGAGCAATTCAAAGCATGATAGTTCACATTTAGGACAGAGACTTGGAATTTTTATCGTTAAAAATAGTCTTGTCTTTTCCCATGCTGAACATGAAGTCCTGGAGAAGCAGAAATGGGATGTGTTGATGATCTTTGATTCTTCCTGTCCCCTCAGTGCCTGCAGAGTATCTGAGTAGTCTTTAAAGTTAAAAACAAAAACATTTACCAGTCTTTTTGGTGTTGAAGAGGATCTTCAGATGTCCTAAGGGGGATTGTCCATCCCTAATTCCCTCATTCTTTCATTCCCATTGCACCATCTCCTTTGGAACTTCTTCTCAGTTGATTTCTCTGCTTTTCATTTTTCCTGTTGGAGTTAATGTGGTTTCCTAGCCCAGAAAGCTGCATTGTAAAATACCTTGTTTTGTCCATCTGCTCCATTTATTTCCACCCTTATAAAGTTTTATTGAAGAAAACCAGATGAAATTTAAGAACAAATTTTGTCTTTTAAAGCTGTGGCATCCCCTCCATAGGAACAACTCTGAATGTGCAATTTTGTGTCATTTCTGAAAGCATCTCCTTGGGCAGTTTCTGTGCCATCAACCAAATCACGGGAACTAAATTTTAAATGTATCCATAATTTCATTTGTTTCCTTCATGGAATGTATCTGCTAGTGTGAAACAATGGGAAAAGGAATAAAAATAACTGGAAAATCAAGCTCTAGTTCCTCTTTTAGATCAGTCCTTTAGGAGGTTTCTCCTAAAGCTCCTCTCCATGCAGGGTTTTGCTTCCAAATTAAAATATTCTGGATTAAGCAGTGAATTCACGTATTCTGGATGAGATAAAGTTACAGCCATGGGGGAAGAGGGGAAATGGAGAAATGCATGTGATCGATTGGATTACAGGAAATATTTGCAAATATAAGTTTAATTCAGATTTAGTATTCTACTTTTTGACCTTCACCAGTGGGAGGGATAAATATTTATATATATATATATATAAATCCTGCACACTCTTTAATAGTGACAGAAATTATCCTGAAACTTTGCCTGCCTGTTTTTGGTCCAGTACATGAAAACATCAGGGTCCTCTCTCCTTTCTACCTCCCGGTTTTGCTGTACCAGGCTCAGGATCACATCCCAAGTTCAGGATCACATCCCATGCCTTTGTTCCAACACCTCAGGGAGCCACGCTGTGTTCCCACCTTTTATGCCAAAATGAACACAAGAAATCTTGCTATCTAACAAGAGAAGTCTTCCCTTTTTTTGTAAAATACTTTATTTGCTGACTTGTTTAATGTATTAAAATTCTCATTTTAGCAAAGCAGTTTGTTGATTCAGAGCCCAAGGTGTTGGTGTTACCAGTTTGATGGAATTGCCACCAGTGTGTTCAATGTCATTGGTTTGCAGGTGGCTGATCAGCATTTTGGGTGAAAGAAGAGACTATTCAAACTGATGCAGTGGCTTTTCCTTTCACTTCCAAATTTTGGTCTAGATCAGCCCCTGGTTTACTGTAAACAGCAATATCCAAGGAGAGGAGATGGAAAAAATATATGATATGGAAAAAATCACTGAGGGATGAGAGAGATGGATAAGGGACCATTAAATACACTTTTGAAATGGTTCCTTGTGTGTCATAATTCCTTTTAGGATACTTGTCCACCTTAGAATTCCAGCTGTTGTAGGGTTTGTCTGTGCCCACATTTTCAGGAAATTCAAACCATAATATCTGTACTTAACAGTTTTAAGCAGTCAGGGAGTTTACCTGTGCTTCTGGCTAGGGCTGGGAAGTGCTTTGGAGGCAGCTTCTTCATTCCAGGCATCTCCAGGAAAACATATACAAGGAGTTGGAACTATAAAAGCAGTTACAGAAAAAGGCAGAGATTTTGTGATTTTGTCTTGTTTCCATTTCCCCCATCCAAAGCATGTTTCAAAATGATTCCGAAATGTTTTAGAAATTGTTGTTAACTTTTGTCAGAAGATGACAAGCTAAACTTCGGTTCCTCCTAAACACATAACTCAGAACATGAAAGCAATTCCTCCCTACGGTTCTGTAAATGAAAATAATTTAGTCTTTGGTCTTACTTTTGGCATTTGAGACAATTCAGTTCCTTTGGTAAGACCTTATGATATATTAATTTGTAGCTGCTACTTTCATCTGCAGCTGTGCCAGTGGAAGCTGAGTTGCCTATGAGAAAGGAATTTGATGTTTGCTGTTCTATTTTTTGTTCCTAATGTCCACATTTACATAAAATACCTGTTTGTTTTGCCTTTTGAAGTCGGAGAGAAAGGGATGAGATGCTCTCAGTGAAAATGAGGTTTCTTGTCTCTGTTGTTTTTTTTTTTCCCAGAGGAAATAGAGCTGGCCTGGGGAGGGAATCTTGAGGGTGTTACCTGTTGTGTCAGGGAGGGTTAGGTTGGATAGCAAGAGAAGATTCATCCCAAAGGATGAATGGGCACTGGAAAACCTCCTCAGGGAATTGTCACAGCCCCAAACTCTGCTCAGCAGCAACAGAAATATTCCTGTATTCTGCCCCCTGTTCCCAGCACAAATCCAAACCACCACCCCACACCTTCAATGAAGAAAATGCCCTCAACCCCACCCAAACCCAGCCCAGCAGCCCAGAATCTCAATGACTTTTCTGTGTGAAAAGCCAAACAAAAGCCTTGCAAAGAAGAGGACAAAGGACAGGGGAGCCGCTCTGGATAAACATGTCCTGGAATGTTTATTTTTGGAGCTTCCAGGGAAATGTAGGCAGTTCTGCTGCCTGGTTGTCATAGCAGTACCTGTCAGATCCGTGCTGTGCTCTCAGAATTACCTGCAGTGATGTTTGTGACCATCCATCAGCAGTGGGCAAACCCTGACGTGCGTCAGGAACCGCAGCAACTTCTGCGCAGCTCGGGACCTTCACCAGCAGCCCCTGAGTTTATCCTTCCTGACAAGTCACCCAAAGCCACACTGAAATCTGGGTTTAGCTTATGGAAATTTGGCTTAATGGTGATACTGTGCTGGGTTCGAGGCAGGCTTGTGGAAACAAAAGCAGGATGGTTTTAATAAATGTATGAAAATAGGCTCTTTGCACTTACATAATTGACCAGTCAAGTCGCATCCATCAGATGAGTGCAAGTGCAAGAGCTCTGATTTAAAATCCATCCCGAACTCCTGCTGGATGAGGGGTAGTTTTCATAACAGGGGAAAAGAGGCCAGAAGGATGGC